GGGCCTAAAAGGATAGTTCAGAATCCAGGGTTACCACTAGCACCCTGGCATGCGGGGATGGGTTGATAGTTGTGCTGTTGATCTTGACCGAAATCAGGGGAAGAGGCACTTGGGGGAGTAAATATTATGAGCTCACTTTTGGATAGATTGAGTTTTAGAATCCATCTGCCCTTAGCTAACCCTCCCTCCTCTCCTGAAGACTGCTGGGATGTATGACATAATTTGCCTAGGCATGAAAACCAGGAAGTGACTAGAGAAATGTAAAAAAAAGGTTTAACCCAGGTAAATATAATATACTTTCCAATCTATTTCCTAATACTAGCAGCATAAGGATTAAAATAGTTGATTAAAATGTTGCTTGAGAGAGTGAAGTTCCGCTTTCCACATTTCTACAATGCAATTTCTGATGAGAGCAATTTGCAAATATTGTGAGAAGAAATATTCTTTTCCAAATGCTAGAAAGATGACAAAACACATCCTTGCAGGTCAGAGGTGCCCTAAAGACATTAAAAATTACTTTATGGAATTAAATGATGAAGACCATAATGAAAGTGCAGATAGCTTTTCTCTCCAGAAACACTCTTTCTGCTGCTTCTGAATCATCACTAAGTTTAAGAAGCAAGTTTAGTGTATTTACTGAATAAGTTGTACTTTCATTTCAAGCATAATACTTTTTTGTATACTGTATTTCACATTCCCAGTTTAATTAGTAAATTACTTTCAATTTGTAAAACTACTCCACACTGTTTTTTTTTTTTTTTTTTTTCTGAAAATTTCCATTTTTTCCCGGACAATCCGGAAATCTTTGGAGAGATTTCTTCTCAATTCCTGTTGTATCTGTGGGACAGTAAATGAAGGGAAATCTCTCCCATAGGACACAGGTGACCAAAAAAAAAAAACCCTAAGGTGTTTTAGCCCTTCCATATCCTATCCAAAACAAGATGAAAATGTTCTGTCTTAAAGCGGCAGTAAACTCTGATATAAAATTTGTACCTAAAGGTAAGCTTAAGGTAAGTCTTATCTGTAGGTATGGTGAATATCTCCTAAACCTGCATAAGCACAGTGATGCTCTGCATTCAGGGCACACTGAATGCAGAGCACCGTGGTGCAATTATGACTCAGGCGCTCATGCATAGGAGTGATATTACTGCGGCCTGGCCATTCAAAAGGTAAAAGGCAATAAAGGTAATAAAGGCATACTAGCACATTATGGCATAACACTGTGTGTGTGTGTGTGTGGGGGGGGGGGGGGGGTAGACTTTACTACTTCTTTAAGATATATTTTAAAGGATGAGATGAGGACATTTTTGGTAACATTGCCCTTTAATAAAGCCTCCACCCTCCTGAGTGCCGGCAGCTTGGGCTTATACCTACCTTCAGCCCAAATCTAGCAATCTTACAGTTGACATGATCTTAGCTGGTTTTTCCTTCATTCTGAATTGCTGCCTGTATATTCCTATAAAAGGAGACTCCAAGCAACCACTGAGGGCTGATATGTGTATGACTGCCCCCAAAAAATATTGGGACTGTGACACACATGCACAGAATGAAGAAGAACTAAAGTTCTTCTTTAATATCCTCATAATCTACAGGAGTTCCTTATGTCAGATAGCTTGCAGTTTGTGAAGGTTCTGAGGTGCAATTATATAACAGCAGCCTGCATTATGTTTTTGGTTTTGTCATGGAATGGGAGGACTTGGCTAGGAATTGGAGATGTTCCTCCTGTGATCTTGAACAGGAGCTTTGGTACTTTCATCCAAATGGAAAAATAAAATGATGATAATGAGGCTCTGTGGGTGGAGAAAGCAGATTGAGAAAAATGTTTCCAGGCAGTGCTTTGCTTATTGGACATTATATAATACATGATATTTTGAAGGATTTTGCACTGAACTGTAGCTCATATCTTCCTATTAAAAAAGACGGAGCTGTCATTTGCCTTGTCAGTGGTGTTTCAATGTAAAGCAATGTGCCCAGAAGTGTCTGTACACTATTTTTTCAGTAGCATGGCTTTTCTAAAAGGCTGGAAGAAAGCCGCGAGTAAAGAAAATGAAGCTTCAGAGACCTTAGATCTCTTTTTAGAGTGAGAGCTGCTGTGCACATACCACTTTGCTTCAGATGGTAATCAAAGCTGTGCCAGACCAAAGCTGTGGGCAGAGCAACCCATGTACATAGGACATAAGATTAAATATTTGATAGACTTCATATCAAATACAAAATAACTGATACAGAGACTAGCTACGCTTTGTAGATGGACCATATGTAAAGAAAATATAATAGACACACTTAGCAGCCACCAATTCAACATCTCCTACAAAAATCTCCACCCAAAACCATTTCTTTGGCTAGATTTAACAGGAATCAGGTTAAAATGGATTCAGGTTAAATTTACCAGCAAATTAACATAATGTCAAGCTATGTTTTTATGATGTTTAATTTTTCTGGAATCTAGAGAGGAGAATGGGTAGAGGTCTTACTATTGACAACTGTGTTGTGTGTAAAAGCTACTGTGTTGCCAAGAACCTGCTGAAGCATGACATTGTCTGAGTCAGGCTTCATTTCCTGCTACAGAACTTAATGTGACATTACTTTTCAGCCAAAAAAAAAGCAGATGTAAAATCATACATGTCATTGCAGTGCCGTAGCACTGTAAATTTGTTCCAGTGATATCCTCTGCTTTACACCACAATTGTATCTTCCCAAACGTGACAGCAATCAAGTCAGAATAGATCAAAGAGTAAATGTTAATTGTCTCATTGTACCTAATTTTTTTAATGCTTGTCCATCCTCAGAATAAAAGTCCTATGCAGGGCAGGAGACTGTAGCTAATGGCTGCTGTTCTCTGTGTAAGTGCAGTAATCTCTGTATGGCAGTCCAACATGCCCCCCCTTTCCCCATTATGTCCTCACTACAGCACTACAATCAGCAATGTTTGCTCTCTGCAAGATCTGCTGATTGCAGTGCTGTAATGTTGACAAGGTGAGGGGGCATGTGTTCTAGTACCCCATCATTGGTATCAATGGGAAGAATAGTGCCCCTTCATAGATATCAATGGGAAGAATAGTGGCCCATCGTTGGTGTCAGTGGAGTGATAATGCCCAATCATTGGTGTCAGTGGGAAGAATAGTGCCCCATCATTGGTATCAATGGGAGGAATAGTGCCTCATGACTGGCAATATTGGGAGGAATAGTGCTCCATAGTAGGTGTCAGTGGGAGTAATAGTGTCCCATTGTTGGTATCAATGGAAAGAATAGGGCCCCATCACTGTTGTCAGTGGGAGGAATAGTACCACAGCAATGGTAACAATGGCAGGAATAATGTCCCATTATTGGTATCAGTGGGATGAATAGTTCCCAACTGTTGGTGTCAGTGGCAGGAACTACTGTTGCTGACAAAGGCAAGATAAAAGCCAGCAAAGGGCCGCATCTGGCCTCCGGGCTGCAGTTTACAGACCACTGCCCTAATCAAAGACCTCTGCTGGGGCAACATTAAAGTACAACTAAAGGTAAAACTTTTTTTTTAGTTTTAAATAGAGTGAGAAGGGTTATTATTATTATTTTTATTATTGTACAGGATTTATATAGTGCCAATAGTTTGCTCAGCGCTGTATATAATGCTCATCAGGTTGTATTGCTGTCTGTGCCCCCATTATAGAGATTCACCCTCTCTATTTGCCTTGTTTTTACCATTTTTATTGAAAGTGAAGTAAAAGAAAATCCCAAATTTTGGACTATCCCCAGAAAAATAATAGAGCGGAAATCTTCCAAAGGGGACACTAGCTCTAGTGACCTGGGCGTCCCCAAGGAATTCCCTTAATTTGCAGGGGTTTCCTCCCACTTCCTTTTTGGCTATGGGAGAGGAAGTAAAGGGGAATTTCCCTAACTGGACACAGATGGCATAAAAAAATCTGACAGGGGTGTCGAGGTCCTACCTTTTCCCTGAGGTTATGTTACTCCATGTGCTGGCGTCCATCTTGGATTCTGCTGTGCATGATGGGAATCCTTTTATGCCTTCAGGTTTCTGTGGTCCATCCCCCAGAGGGGTGTGGCTGATGACATATAAGCCTGTGTCCCGCACATGCTCTTTGCACTTGTGTCTTGTGTCTTTGTGTTGCTATTACTCTGTTCTGACTCTCGTGACTCTCCTGGTATCTGATTCGGCTTGTGACTTGACTATTCTTTGTATTCTCCTTTGATCTGACCCTCTGTTGCTGAACCCGGCTCGTGACCTGTGATTTCGTCTGCTGTCCTGTACTGTTTTGTCCTGTTGTTGTTGACCCCGGCTTGTCTGACTACTCTTTTGTCTCTTCCACCAGCTACACGCCATTGGCGGCGGCCATTACAGCAGCTGAGGTGTCTTGGGGGCCGCGACCTGGTTCCTGGCTGCGTCAAGTCCATCCCCACCATCAGGGGCCCTGGTGAAGGGCAGCCTGGGACTTAGACTCCGCGCCCTGAGGGACTTCGGTCTGTGGGTGGTGGTTGTCGTCAGCCAGTGCGTTACATTGTTAGGCCTGCCTGTCCGTTCCTCAGCTCCTGCCCTGACAAGGGGTTTTAAACTCTCCCTTGCTGTATCCAAAATGAAAAAAAAAGTTTTGCCTATAGTTCTATTTTAAGAATCTTGAGACTATTGACATTTACTCTTTTATCCTGACTATATTGATCAATCAATAAGTAACCTCCTTATACTTAACTCCCACCAAAAAGTCACACTTTCTCCCTAGAAAGTACACAATGAAACATATACCTTTTTGTGATCAACCACATACATTCTCAAACATCAAATAAAATAAAATAAAATTCAACACACACAAAAGAAAAAAGTATAAATAAAGTTTAAAAAAAGTTAAAAAAATTCCAAAATGTCCAATTGATATCAGTTTTTTTAAGGCACAACTGAGCTTTAGCTATCTCTGTAAGTAAAATACATGAATAGGACATGGCTTTATTGAATGTGTACATTGTGACAACCTTGACTCTCTGGTGTATATTGTGTTTTTTATTAGGCTTTGTGGGCTCATTCTGTGAAGAGAAAGTAGATCCATGCTCTACATCCCCTTGCCTCAATAACGGGAGCTGTTTCTCCACTGGCCTGTCCTTCTCCTGTCGCTGTAGTCCGGGATACACAGGTCCTACTTGCGCCCAACTAGTGGACTTTTGTGCTCTGAGCCCCTGTGCTCATGGGATCTGCCGCAGCATTGGGACAAGTTACAAATGTCTTTGCATACCAGGTAAGGTAATACATAATTCAGACTATTAAGATACCTGTAGGAAGGTGTGAAAGATCATTTGATGTATCAGCAAAGGTCAAGTAGGTGCATTACAAGCAGAAGAATGTTTAGGCAGACTTGGCAAACTGTTACATCTATAGCATCCAATTGTTTGCTGAAACGCCCATACAAAAAATTACAAAAGCATTAGAAGAGATCATTCATTTTCATCTGAGCTTTTAAAAAGCAAGTGAGGCCCTGTGTATAGGTACTATTAGTTATTGAATCAAACTTCAGAAAGTCAATGCAGAGAACTGTATTGATGTGCAGTAATCCCTAACAACCACTCAGGTTTCGGTTTAAGACAGATATAATTAGATTTGATTTCAAGGACAAAGAAGTACTGACTCATCAGTCCTCAGCTATAGTGGACTAATGAAAGCTGATCACCAGCAAGTCCCCAAGCAATCATAAGATGGATGCTAAATGGAATGGAAGGGTAATAGTTTCTTAGCCTGTAATACTTTAAATATTCTGCAAATTATAAAACTTTTAATATGTTTCTGGCTACCTAAACAAAGTAATTCTAAATGAGCTGCTACACTGAATCAAAGTGGAAAAAAATATTAACTACAACACTACAATATTAGCTCCTATACTATTATAAATTTAAAAACATAAACATTAACCACAATATTTCATGAATTGAAGTTAAAAACAGTGCATGAAAAAATTCCATACAGTGAACAAGACTATTCAATCAGTGGCTTTTCTTTCCATTAATTGGCAAACCGGTAAAAAAGTCCTCGGAGATACTTAAGATCCTCCGATATGAAAACATGCTGCCGTAAGCAAAGTTCTGTGGAAAAACTCTCACCTTAGTTATATCCTTTCTAATACAGAAAGGATATAGCGCTAATTAGGCAATCCAGCTCCAATCTTTCTTAGATATCTTTGATTGTAATACAAGCAATAAACCTTTCAACATAGGTCAGCTGAACAGCTCAAAGAAAGGAAGACAAATCACCTCCTTGTAGCGTAACTCTTTCATTCAACAAACACATGAATCAATTTACTTACAGAGTTTTCCGAAGGGCCAGTTTTTCAAGAGTAGGCAATACTGAAAGGATATTAATGATTTCAGAACGCAATCAGAGATTTAACTGATAGATTTATTAAGAAGGATTATAACAGGGCTATTATTATGAGGTTAAAAGAGGAGTGTTAGCCATGATAGGAAGAAAAGAGTAAGGGCCAATGCACACCAATGCATTGTAGTGCAGCCGTAAAACGGAGATCAACAGAAGGACATCTGAAAATCAATAATTTCCAATTTGTCCTATTCACACCATAACCTTGCATTGCGTTGTGCTAAAATGCAAAATGTATGTCAACAGATGTCAAAATGTATGTCAATGGACATCAGCGAGCGTTAAAACGCAACTAAATGGATGGAAATGTACATGCAATATTAGCTCAAGTCACTGTGAATTGGCCCTTAAGTAGAGAGGATGGTAAGAGGTCTAAGGTAAAAACAAAACAGTATAATGATGTGACTTTCATTACTAATTTTAATATCCAATTATTATATTTATATTATATTATATTATATTACATCACTGCAGTTTCTAATTCTTGGTTGTAAAGTATGCAGAGATATCAAATAATTTGTACATCTTGAATGCATTGTTAAGTGTCCTTTAGAACGTTGTGAATTCCAGTAATTTGGTACACGGAAGATCTCCTTGTCTTTGCCCCTGTAGCACTTATATTTTCACTATTCAATGGTAAAAAATGCTCAATGCTTTTGTGCCTTGCTAATGAAATTGTTTTTTAGTATGATTTGTGAGCTAAAAAAGCGCTAATTTCCCTTCTTAATTAAGTTCAGTTCTTGGACATTACACACTCAATGGACTGTACTGGTTCTACACCTTCTCCAGAGGATTTCACAATTGGCAGCTTTCCTTTTTCTAAGAAGAAAAATAATATGTGATAGATGATGTTTGTAATGCTGGGGTCATGTCTGTTCTTTCAGAAGGAATGGAAAAAGTCAGCACACATCTGACCTTGTGAATGACTATAGACAAGTTACATTTACGTATGTCTCCATTCTTATTTTTAAGGCACAATGAATCCAGCTACTGTTTAGATTGTGGGCGCTTGCCATGTAGGTTTTGTAGCTACTATGCATCAGCCCTGATCTTCTATATTTCAGTTTTTGCATTGGTGGCTCTTAGTTTTACACAGTCTGTTGTTTTTGCTTAAAGTGGCTGTAAACCCTTACATATACCGTATTTTCACTCCATAAGATGCACCTAGGTTTTAGAGGAGGAAACCAAGAAAAAAAATATTCTGAACCAATGGACTGCAGACATAGTACAGGAAACGACCTGAGACTGCGGATGTACTACAGGAGATGACCAGAGACTGCAGACATAGTACAGGAGATAAATAATGAATAAACCAGCGACTTTCTTCTTTCCCAAAGACTCTTCAAATACACCAAAAAGAACTTTCACCTTCCACCCGTGAAACCAACATCAAATATACTCACCAGATTTAGGTGAATGGGACACTTTTTAGGACCTTGAAAACGCCCTGAGGGAGGGGCGAAACGCGTTGACGCATTTCCGGTCTCTACCCCGTACGTCTGACGTCACTTCTGGTGAGTGGAACGCACGCCGAGTGGTGCGTTCCAGCGGCCATTTTCTGGGATCTGTGGAAAAGTCTTTCTCTGTATAGCTGCTGCTGTATCCTGAGCTGGGATGTGAGAGTCCTGAGGAGGCAAAAACAGTGTTCATTACTGGTCTGGAAGATGCTGGTTTTAAATAAACATGCCTTTTGAAAGAGAAATAAATGTGAGTGGTAATAATCCTTAGTTTGAATATTGATTTTAAGTGGCAATATTACATTATGTAAGTTTTTTCTCCCTGGTTGAACGGTGGAGCCTATTTGTATCGTTGAAGATCCCTTTAGAGTGAACAGCAAAGAGGGTACTAGGATCCCTTAAATTCCTAAAAAGTGTCCCATTCACCTAAATCTGGTGAGTGTATTTGATGTTGGTTTCACGGGTGGAAGGTGAAAGTTCTTTTTGGTGTATTTGAAGAGTCTTTGGGAAAGAAGAAAGTCACTTGATTAATATTTTTTCACTTGATATTTTTTCACTTGAGATATATATATATATATATATATATATATATATATATATATATTTCATGGACAAAAAAATCTTTTTGGTGTTTTCTGTGGACTTTTATTATTAATTTTTATTAATATTAATTTTATATATTTTTTATCATTATGATGCACTTTATGTATTGATGGTGTGTAGAGGTCTATGTTTGCGCTGGTTTATTCATTATTTATTGTGGTTTGTGTTTTTGCACAGTGCACAGCAGCAGTATAGATCCTGTGGGAATCTGTTGGCGCAGGAATAATAGTTTATATAAAATAGTACAGGAGATGACCAGAGACTGCGGACATAGTACAGGAGATGGCCAGAGACTGCAGACATAGTACAGGAGATGACCAGAGACTGTGGATGTACTAGAAGAGATGACCAGAGACTGCGGATGTACTAGAAGAGATGACCAGAGAGACTGCGGACATGCTACAGGAGATGACCAGAGACTGCGGACATACTACAGGAGATGATCAGAGACTGCGGACATACTACAGATGACCAGAGACTGCAGACATACTACAGGAGATGACCAGAAACTGCGGATGTACTACAAGAGATTATCAGAGACTGCAGACATAGTACAGGAGATGACCAGAGCCTGCAGATATACTACAGGAGATGACCAAAGACTGCGGACATAGTACAGGAGATGACCAGAGACTGCGGACATAGTACAGGAGATGACCAGAGACTGCGGACATAGTACAGGAGATGACCAGAGACTGCGGACATAGTACAGGAGATGACCAGAGACTGCGGACATAGTACAGGAGATGACCAGAGACTGCGGACATAGTACAGGAGATGACCAGAGACTGCAGACCTTTGGGGGGGGGAGGGCGGGTACCCGAATTTGACAGGTAACCGCTTCCACTTTGCAGCGATTGCCTCTCTCCCCGTAGTCTTCTGGGACATGTAACCAGTCCCAGAAGACTATGGGGTCATTCACAAAGCGTGGCCCGGTATCTAACACGACGGTGACGGGGGGGAATACCGGGCCTGATGCTCCATATTTGCTCCATAAGCGCACAGATATTTCCCCACATTTTTTGGGGGGGAAAAAAGTGCATCTTATGGAGCGAAAAATACCGTACCTAGTGAAGTGACTGACCTCAACTGATACACATAGATGAAACAAATCTTCCTTCATAAATTGCACATATTTATCTCCAGCCTTTTCTTCTTTACATCCATTCAGAGTGCTGAATTTATAAAGCTTGTCTGCCCGTTTAGAAAAAAGGGGGCGGAGAGCTGAAGTTACACACTGCAGGGTTCAGTGAGAAGAGCTCTGAAAATTGATTGGAGGAAAGGGACACCCCCACCCCCTTCACACAGCACACAGGAACAGAGCTGAGGCTGTCAATATGCTGGAGATCCCTCTCCTGTCAGCATTTTTCTCTTGGTGTCAGGAGAACTTGTCAGAAATGACTCATGCCTGAAGCAGCAGACAAAAATGACACTTGTATGTAGAAATAGGACACACAATCTGCCACGCCCCCTTAAAGGAGAATTATACAAAAAATTATTAGTTAAATCCACAAGTGCCTTTATTTACTACTAATATAACTTTATACTGTCTTTTGCCATTTACAAATACAGCAATTTAGAATTTGGATGAAAGGTTTAGCACTGTGAAACACTTTTTGAAATAATAAAATAAATAAATAGTGCATTTTATATACAACTAAATAGATCAGAACAATGTGAATAGTATTTATACTGACTGCCTTAAGTTTGCCTGTTCTTCTGTACCTTTCCTTGTTATACTTTTGTACGATTTCAATAAACGCAACTGTTAAAAGAAATAGATCAGACCAAAGTGAGGGACAAATGAGGA